CCCAACGTGGTAATTGCATTAACTGAAAATCCAAGTTCGAAGTGTGTGTTGTGGTGTGTGTTGTGACCTGACGTTCACACACTCCTTCTAGCCAAGGCCTGGTATCCATTGATTCTTGCCTGCGAAAAGTCATTATTTTCCGCTGAGCCTCGCCCAGGGGAGTGGGGTTGAGAAAGACCAAGCTCCCACTGAGAGATAGCTCCCAGAGGTTCCAGAGGACTATCCGGAGGACTCTCCACTATTTGTTTACTGTATATTTCCCCAAACAGGTTTACCTGTGAGGGGTTCTTACTCCTTTTAAAGGGGTGCATGCTCGGGCCGGATGATTTTGAGTTTGTCTCCGGGCTTGTGTTCCTGGCCGCATGATTTCACCCTTGTCTCCCACTTGTCTCCCACTTGTCTCCCAGTAAGCTCTGGATGCTCTCAGTGCTCTGGCCGCATGATTTTATACTTGTCTCCCATTTGTCTCCCACTTGTCTCCCAGTTGTCTCCCAGTAAGCTCTCGATGCTCTCAGTGCTCTGGCCGCATGATTTCAGGCTTGTCTCCCACTTGTCTCCCAGAAAGCTCGGCCGCATGATTTCACACTTGTCTCCCACTTGTCTCCCACTTGTCTCCGAGTAAGCTCTGGATGCTCTGAGTGCTCTGGCCGCATGATTTCACACTTGTCTCCCACTTGTCTCCCAGTAAGCTCTGGATGCTCTGAGTGCTCTGGCCGCATGATTTTATACTTGTGTCCCACTTGTTTCCCACTTGTCTCCCAGTAAGCTCTGGATGCTCTGAGTGCTCTGGCCGCATGATTTCACCCTTGTCTCCCACTTGTTTCCCAGTAAGCGCTGGATGCTCTGAGTGCTCTGGCCGCATGATTTTATACTTGTGTCCCATTTGTCTCCCACTTGTCTCCAGTAAGCTCTGGATGCTCTGAGTGCGCTGGCCGCATGATTTTATACTTGTCTCCCATTTGTCTCCCAGTAAGCTCTGGATGCTCTCAGTGCTCTGGCCGCATGATTTTATCCCCCAAACAGGTTTAGCTGTGAGGGGTTCTTACTCCTTTGAAAGGGCGGGCCGCGTGATTTTGCATGTGTCTCCCGGTTTTTGTTCCTGCCACACGAATGATGTTGCAGCTGTCTCTCAGTCTGAGCCGCATGATTTTACACTTGTCTCCCGCTTGTCACTTGTCTCCCTCGTCTTCCTGTCTCCAGTACACTCTGCTGCTCTGGCCGCGTGATTGTACACTTGTCTCCCACTTGTCTCCCTTGTCTCCCGTACTCTGGCTTGCCTCCCCCTTGTCTCTCCCTGTCTCCAATACACTCTGGGTGCTCTGGCTGCATGCTTTTGCACTTGTCTCCCACTTGTCTCTCCTTGTCTCCAATACAATGTGGGTGCTCTGGCTGCATGCTTTTGCGCTTGTCTCCCTCTGGGTCCTCTGGGCCGCGTGAGATGTTTCCTCTGCCTACTCTGGATACACTTGGCCGGATGTTTGTTTTTACACCTGTCTCCACTGGTCTCCCACTTTTTCGGCCTACTTTGGATTACACTTGGCCGGTTGCTTGTCTTCTTGCTTCTATACCCTCGGTTGGATGAGCTTACACTTCTCTCCCTGCTTGTCTCCCTTCTTGCTTCACTTGTCTCCACTTGTCTCGGCCGGCTCTGGATACGCTTTTACACTTGTCTCCGCTTGCCTCTTCGCCTGCTCCCTGCTTAGACACTCTTGGCCAAGTGGCTTTACGCTGTCCCACTTGTCTCCCTGCTCGTCTCCCCTTCTTGCTACACTTGTCTCCACTTGTCCCCGTGCTTGTCTCCCTCGCTTCTTCACTTGTCTCCCTTCTTGTGTCCCTGCTTGTCTCACATTTTGGTTGAAAGCTTTTAACATCTTTTAGCCAAACAATCATGATAAAGCCACATGTCAGTACAACTCAGCATATTCAGTAGATTTGCGTTCTATTTTCGTCTGAATTGTCGGTTGTGACCTTGAGCCAATTGAGCCAAGTGCTGAAACAAGCCCAGAAGGTCCGAGTTGATCACCGCGAGCTGGAACGGTTTGAGCCGTTGACGGTTTGACAGTTCGTCTCTGTGGTTAACTTCATAAACGCACAAACTGTTTGGGGTCTACGCTGGTATAATTTTTTAATTTAAGTAATGATTTTCTGCACGTCCCTGTGGCTCGTTATCCAAGGCAGTTGCCGCCATCTTTGCCAAGCATCCGCCTCTTGAAGGGCAAGTGACACAACCAGCGAAGGGTGAAGGGAATGGAACGGAGCATCAAAGGAGACAAGGACGGCAGTTGCGATGCTTTGCAGTGGATGGCTGGAGAGAGCTTCACTTCTCATTACTATTTATGACTCAGCTTGTGTGGATGAACAGTGAACATCGCAAATTTTGGGGATAACGTTAGTTTTCGTGAGCGTATAGTTTATGCGATGGTATAATCAATATACACTCTTAAACATATACAAACAGTATTCAACCAGTGTGACTACCAGTGTGTTTTGAGCTTTTCATACCACCTCCGTGTAAACCATCTGAAACCACACGTTGAAGCCGATGAAACCAGAGTGAAACCTATGCTTTCACTGCTGTAGACAAGGTTTCGCCGACGGGTCGACCAGTCGGGCAGACCCTGGACCGAGCCTCGTCGGGGTCGACCCGTCGGGGTCTTCCAAGGCGTTGGGATCTTCGTGCAAATGCTAGCCGGGCACCTCAGCCTTCGGGACAGTTTTTTTCGGCGGAGGACGAAGGTAGGTGGTTAAATCTGGAAGAGGTGATGTGGGAGTCAAGAGCAGCGTGTGCGATGTGATGAGATGAGGTGCCAAAGTCTCAGACATCCTCATCCTCCTCGCGCTCACCCAGTTGTCACTCGCCAGGACTCGTCTTCTGGGGGCGAAGAAGGGTGAACATGTGGCACCACCATGAGAAGGTGGACGCCACCTATCCGCGGTAGACATGTTTCATATTTCATTAACTTATGTTATGTTTACGTTCCCTTCATCAATCTCTAAATAGCCAGCCAAGAAGACTGGTTTTGTATATGTCGAGGCTCAGAAATTATTGCGTTTAGGAATTCTTTCAGTTCTAAAGTCATGCCTGTCCTTGACTGCCAGCCCCTACTTGTACAAGGTTTGCAACAAAGGTTGGAAATGTACAGGTCAGGCACGTTATTAGCGGAAGGCATCACTGCAGTATATTTCCCCCCAGCTCCTTCGCAACTTCTTTGTCACTGCTTGATCCGCCAGCCTGACCACTTCCAAGGTATGTGCAGCAGGTCAAGCAGAAACCGCTTCCTCCTTTCTACAACTCGCGAGATCCGAGGTACAGATGTTTTATGATGTGTTCACCTGGTTCAAACGCAGGGTCTCATTGCAGGAATGCATGAGGTTCACCAGGTGTCATCGAATCATTTGTGCATTTTCGTGAGGCCCTACGCCCGACGAGAGCCAAAGAACAAGCTTTCGCAGCGCCTGGCGAAGGACGGGGACGGGGTGTTCCCCCGCTGCCACGAACTCCGTGCCACGCGAAATCTGCCGATTTGCATGGATAAAAGACCTGCCGACGGTGCAAAAAACAGACCTGGAAGATCCGGGAAGCTCAGACCTGGTAGGACGTGAGTGCCCAAATCGGGCTGCTTGGCCAAAGAAGTGCCGAACAAAGACAGCCTTGGCAGCCTTGTCCATCGTTTGCTACTTGGGGATCTCATCTAGGCCCATTCAGCCCATTCCCTGCAACCATCTCTCTCCGTGACTTCAAGTGATGTTCTTGTTTTACACAGCTTTTACAAAGAGATTCCGTCCAAAATGAGCCGCCTTGCCAAGGAAGCTTGTCCAGAACGAGACGTCAGTTTTTATTTGGCTTAGGGTCAACTCCTCGGAATGCCCAAACTGTTTCTACATGCATTTGCAGCGTCTAGATTTGCAGCTTTCTCAGATCTTGTGGTCACCTGGGAACCTCGGAAAACGCTCAGTCCTTCTCGGGGAGTCATTTTGATTCCTTTTTTTCAGCCATAAGACTGAACCTCAGCTGTGTATGTTTATGTTGCTATTGTTTGAGGCCTCCAGTCTTCCAACCATTGTCTTAATCCTGCAGCTTGGCCAGAAGATGGAGTCGAGAGTTTGGAAGAACCTATGGAAGTCGTGCATCTGCCGGTTGTGTTTGATAAACATTGACAAACTATATTGTGGCACTGTCCAAGAGCTAAGAGGCGGTAAAGTGAAAGGCTCAGGTAAAGGAGACCAAGTTGCTCTCTTTCAGTGCCGACTCAGGGTTTCCGTGCTGCGGCTATGCCGGGGCCTTGGACCAGGGATCGGATAGAGAGTCGAATAGAGATGTGGGACAGGGAGGGCTCTCAATGTTTTGCACTCCAATTGCAGGCTTTTGTAGCCGGTACCAACAACGGAGTCGTATGCCTTGCTCACAATCTACATGGTCTTCAAAACGATGGCGTTCTATACAGAACCGATCCTCACCAAAGAAACTCGCACGTCCGCGGTGACAGGCTTGACAATCCTCAGACAGGAGACACTTGGAATCGGAACTGATTGTGCCATTTGTGGCCAAGGCTTGCGATGGCAAAATGCACCTTAGCTGCACCCGGCCAAGGGGCTCATGGTTGGCCCATTGAAGCAACTGCCAATCTTTCAATTGTCAGAAGTGCGAAGTGGCTTCATATATCGAAATATCTACACAGAACTACTGGATACCGGAGACTGAGAAGACTCAACTCCACAAGAGACATGCCTGCGAGGGTTTTCGTTTTCAGTGCAGAAATTGAGGTTGCTCAATGGCTCGTTCATTCACATTACTTTATGGCAGGCCAGCATGTTGGACTCGCACATTCAATGGTGTGAAACCAACCTTTGTTCAAGTTATTATAGTGAACAAATAAACATATATCAACCATAAACCCAAGGTAGGTAACGTCATGGAGTCATGCGGCAATCCTGATAAGACAGGGTTAGTTAGGGACACACGTAATTGTAGCTGCCCCTCTTGGGTGTTCACGCCCTTTTGTTCACAGTCCAGCCACTGCTGTGGATTATTGGTGTCCCCACATGCGTATTTCAGCACCATTCTCCAACAATGAAGACTTGACATGATTTGGAGCGAAAGGACATGTGAAAGGCATTGCTTCCAAAGATTGGTGCTCGGTGCTATAAATTGACGTTCTCGTGCCACTGTTGGATGCAACCAAAGCTAAATCAAGGCCAAAAATAAGAGTCCTGCTGCACGCCAAGAGCTAGTTCTGTTCTGCCCGTGTTTTGCACTATGGCAGTGCGCTTCTCCTTGTGCTGTGCCGAAGCATGAACCTTCACCTGAAAACCTTCTTTTCCTGTCCATGACAGAACCTTTTCGGCTGATTCAGTTTGGCGAGGGTAGGCGTTGCTGTGTTGTTTCCATGGTTGTAACTATGGAGTATGTAGTAATGTAGTGCATAATGTTGCACATAGTCTCTTCATATTCCGGTGAGCCGGTGAGCGGAGCAAAGCCAATCTTACTGAAGCAGCTCAGGCCGGGTCGCTGGTTCACCGCGACATCCGCTTGCTTATACGCCGCAAATTCGGATAGCTTGTAGTTTTTTGTTTTTCACACACCTGCTTACTTTGAAGACACAAGTTGTCCTCAAAGTCTGAACCAGCACGATTTCAGAACAACCCTGGAAAATGCACATGGCGAGGGGGGCCGTATGGCATAGCCTTAGCCAGCGCATGCGCAGCACTAGAATGCCGATCAACTATCAACTGCTATGGAGATTTTGCACGGAAGCATCATGAAGCTTTTTGTTTCGAAATCAACACATGAGTCAACATCGGAATTAGCATCAACCAGTTTAGTAAGCGCCACATTTAACCGCCTTGCACTCGCGCCGTCAGCGTGGATCGAGCGGTTCCTTCTGTGCAGCAACCTGCTTGCCCCAAACAGCAGCGACAATCAAAGACTCAACAAGTGGGGACGGTGTGGGGAATGTAGCGCCTGAGTTCCTCATCTCGAACCGCAGTAGTCAGAAAGGACACTTGGATACAGAGGTTGGTCCTGCACAGCGATATTTTCCGGATGTGCGATCGTATCAAAAAAAAGGGTGTGCGGTGTGCTATACACTTAGGACCTTTGGGGCACTTGGAAATTGCGGGGCGTGGGCAGTCCGACTGAAATCGCGCCCTTCATTCCCTTTGTGTGTTTGGTTGACGCATTTCTTGTGCCTGAAGTGGCTTTATGTCGACCAACTGGACTTTGTCTTGTTTGAGTTGTAATACAGTGTTGTGGAAGGCATCATCCTGTCTACCTGGCTTTTGCAAGAAGCGCTGGAGCTGCGGCGACACACCCCTGCCCGGGCGATGTGCCTCGGCAAGAGATTTGCTCCTCTGTGTCCAATGCCTAGATATGTAGCGAGATTGCTTAGTTGCTTCTGACACAAAGGCCCATGTTGACAATTGTGTTTTCAGCGCAGGGGCTTCGTCCACTGCTCATCAATGCTCATCATGTCTCCATGGTTGTTGTGCAGCTTCGTCCAGATTGCCGATCCCCAATGTTGTGCGCCGAAGGATTCAATCCATGATCGACCGGATGGCACCCCAGTTGCACAATCGATCAAAATCACTGTTGGGCATGCGAGGCGAAGGCCAAGCCAAGCAAGAAGACACTTCATGATATGATGCAAACAGGTGAGGCGTCGTGTGATCTCACGTGCTGCAGACAGGTGATGCAACACATGCTTTTTCACAAAAATGATTTGTAGCTTTCAGTGCGCATCCTTGAAAACACATATCCTGCGTGGCTGCGTGACTCGCCTCATGCTGCGCTACTTGAACGCGTGACATGCCTGGCATGGAGTTGCCACAGCTGCCCAGGTCGCGCATGATCAAAAACACTTGCTGAATGAGCTGCTTCAAGCCATTGACGTGCCAACGCTGCTCTTGTGTGGCCCACGTACTTTGCAAGCATCGTGGCTGAAAGAGAGGGAGAGAGACACACTTGGCTGGGTTCTCGGGCAGACGTTTGTATTGGAATCAAGCAGAATGAGGGGTGAATGACTATCAGCCACCTTTCGGTTGAACCTACACCATTCCTGAGTGTTCAATCTGAAAGTATCAATGTAACTTGCACCCAGTTCCTGGCTGACCACAGCTTCGGTCAAGCAGCCATTGAATAGTTGGCCACACACAATCATCGCAACTAGTTTGCTGAAGCAAGTGCAACATGTTCGACGCAAGCGGTTTGCGCTTGCCAACAATATTTTTGATGGTTCAGCTTAGTCCTCCTCTTTACATCCCCAAGATAGTGCGGGCTGCCCTGGTGTGGTTTGGCTAGGAGCGCTTAACAGAAGATGCGCTAAAGAAACACCTGTTGGAGCCCTTCACGAAGGCGATCTTGGTGAAGCTTGGAGGACAAGAAATACGGCACAAGACCTGAGAAAACATCATCAGTGTGGACTCATGCGGTGCACTTCTGACTTTAACGTAAGGCAATGTTGTTTTCCAAGTTGCGCTGACTGCGAATAGCTTATTCCACGGACCAGAATCCCTCTGTGCATGCAAGACACAAGTTGACCATTACTTTAACTGGACCAAGGAATGGCTTACAGAAAGTGGGAATCACTTCGTGCCTCGCCTTCTTTGCACACGAAAAAACACCAGACATTCTCAGATTGTTCCGAGTTGTATCCATGCATCGTGAATAGACAACTGAAATCAACTGTTTGGATGTGTTTGGACTGTTTGGAGCTTGACTGATTCGTTCTCTGCTAGGTACCGCAGTCAAGCAGTCCGGCGTTTGGTGCTGAGCTGCCGGGGTGCTGAACTGACTGTGTTGAAGAGCGCGCTGGATAGCACCTTGGAGTGTCGACGAGACACCTGAGCAGAAATTGAAGAAGGGAACGTGCCTCCGCTACACACCACTTGGGTCATATATGCGCATGCGAATCGGCATTATAGGAGAGCTCGTCTATATTTCATTTCTGGAGGCCGAGAGGGAGCAGTACTGCTCCGCCTCGTTGTTCCGACAAGCTAAGCCCTCTGCTTTTGGTACTAGATGTGAAAGTCAAGATCTGGGTAGCTCCTCCACTTTAGAGTAGCACGACAAATGATATTTATGTGATACATCCCACCCAGAATGGCTTGGCTCAGGTACCGGCGACTACTTCAACTTGCACAAGCTGTGGGCTGGCAAACGAACGTTGGGTGGACTGCCAAAGGGCTGTAAGTTGAAGCATTTCCTCACATAGACCTGTCTTGACAAGTGGGCAAAACACAGAATCACCCGGACACCATTGTCTTGACATGCCAACGATGTAATTATAGAAATATGACAATTGTAACAAGCAGGCAGTCTTGACATATTGTTCCGTCCCCAGCAAAGAATTTGGAACTTACTTATCCATCTCAGGCTTTACGGAGTAAGCGATGGATGTGTAATCCATTCACAATCTGTAGTGGTTTGGATATGTTTTCGGGGGATCGTAGTAGGTGATTGTAAGGTGCCAGTGTCAGTTTTGTGCCAAATCACCACTTCTACGCACGGGAGCAGAGGCAACTCACCATTGAATTGCATTGCAACACCTAAAGATATAAGATTCACTTAAATGGAGATCCAGCCTGGCAAGTCACAAGCAATTTGGCCAAGGAAGGTTATTCCAACGATTGTAGACTTGTAGACATTGCAAAGCCTGTTGTGGTTGCTGCTTCCATCTTCCATTTCAACTGTAGCATACTGTAGCATTTCTCTCGCAATCCGTCGCTTGTTCCGAGGATCTACCGGGATTTGAGGGAACCCGTACGAAGCGAGTTGCTGGCACATCTTCAGAAAGAAGCCGTGGACCTGCGAGCCTTGGTGTGAGCTTGACCAATGAAGCGCTGTGAAAGCCCGCTGTTCTGAAAGCTGTCGGTGCTCAGTGTTAGCTCGCAAAACATATCGCATAACTTGCTGAAGCTCGAACGAACGTGTTGAACATTGAAGCTCAAGTTTTAAAAGACTGATTCAAGACTGAGTATGTCGTAAACAAACCTGACCGATTCTGCAACTGATTTTGCCCATTTTGGTCACTCTTGGCCAAGCCAAGGGATTGATGGTCACTCTGTGGGTCTCAAGATCCTCAGCTCCTACCACTGCACTTGAGCGATTTTGGGTGGTTGTGTTCTTGAAGGATGAAACCCGAAATCGCATCCGGTGCATGCGCTGGATTTCTCCACTCCATGCCTACCCCCACAACATCAAGCTCGTTTGGTGCTCCAATGTGCCAAGTGCAGGATGGTTGCCTTGTTTGCAGGGCTCACAAGATGAGGCGATATTGATGACACAGTCGCCTGCAGTGGTGGATCCTTTCCTGCTGGCCTCATGACTGCAAGAAGTTAGTATATAATGTGATTTTGGGGCTCATTCATTTAGGGTGCTTTGTGAGTGCTGGAAGTCTAGAATCCCCGGATAAAGAGTGCCAGATGAGGTCGTTGGTGTGGAACAATTCTTCTGAAACATTTCTTCCGCAACTATTTGGTACTCTTCCGCAACTACTCTTCAGAAACTATTTCGCGATCTTCAGCAACTATTTCACGATCTTCAGAAACTTTTGGTGATCTTCAGGAACTATTTCGCGATCTTCAGAAACTATTTCGCGATCTTCAGAAACTATTTCACGATTTTAAGAAACTATTCCGCGATCTTCAGAGGCTATTTTGCGATCTTCAGAAACCTATTATTTGCATGCTTTAGAAAGTATTCTTCGTAATTTTTACAACATTGCAACCAATTTGCATGAAGGAGCACTGGGCGGGTGGGGGGGGTGGGTGGGTGGGTGGGTGGGTAAGTGGGTTTGCGATCTGCAGAAAGTTGTTCGTGCAGGTTTGATGTTGCTCTTCGACGCTTCGTAGTTTCCGAACATTAGTTCCTGAAGAAAACCGTAGAGTTTCCGAAAATTAGTTTCCGAAGAACACCGTAAAGTTTCCGAAGATCACTTTTGAGTAGCCGAAGATTAGTTGTCACAGAAAAGTTTCCGAAGAAAACCACATAGTTTCTGAAGAAAACCGCATAGTTTCCGAAGAATAGTTTCCGAACATATCCGTAACATTTCTGAAGATTAGTTTCCGATAGTTTCCGAAGAAAACCGTAAAGTTTCCGAAGATCAACTTTTTAGTTTCCCAATAAAACTTTGACCCGTTGGTGTGCGTCAGCTATACATGATGCTTGTAGTGATGTTTTACGAGGTCGGGACAAGAGATTGTCAAGGCCTTAGGCTGGCAGAAGTTGTTGACACTGGCTGGTTGGCCATGGACGTTTCACGCAGTTTTCAATGCGGGATGCCCCACAACCGCTCATACCATCTCATGCCAAGTGCGCAAACTGTTGTCAACATTTGGACAATTTTAGCATATTTTAGCCATTTGAGGCCATTTGACCTGAACGCTTGAAGTGAAGTAATTATTGTTCCAGCTACACTGCACGATCCTAAGATATCCTCAGGCCCAAAAAGATGATCTACCCCGGCTTCGCAACGCTCTTGCGAGAGCTGGATTCCAGCTTCACACCATCGGAGTGGGGGGCTCGCTCGGCTCGAGACGGATCAAACAGAAAGAGGTGCTCATGGGTTGAAAAGCGTTTCTCTTGTTTTTTCTTCTCTCTCTCTCTCTCTATGCTCATCAAGATGGTGGAAACGTTCACAAACGGTTACTAGTATGTTCTTCAATCGGTTTTGTTCGTATTATGCTTCACTCGTAGACTCCATGCCGACTCGGCTTCGCAACGCTCAGGCCATGCTCCAACGTGGTGTTCTTATCGGCCAGGTGCTTCGTCATGCAGCATCCAACGAAGACGGGAGCGTCGTGATGTCTTCGATAGAGAGAGGTGGAGAGAAGCATTTCTTCATTCTATTCTGCCAGCGAGGTCAGCTTTCCCTTGTGTATTACCTCCCAGGGAAGAAGACCCCAGTCAAAGGTGTTGCCCAAGCCTGGAGGCCTCACATCTACAAAGACGTTTCTGAGCAGAGAACGTTCAGGACACTGGTCGAAATTTCCTACTTGTCAAACTTGTCAGATCTTGAAGTTATCAAGATATGGCTGTGTGCAACATTGCACAACCGCCAAGCAAGACAGCACCAAGGAAAAATGAAAGGATAGGATAGTGTTTTTTTCTTTCATAAGTCAGTCACACATCCTTTTATCCTCGGGAGAAGGTCACGGTCAGACTACTCATCGAACTATTGAAGAGCAAATCAAGCGAGAAGCTCTTTGCTTAGAGCACGAATAAGACCGCTGCTGTTTCTTTTCTCAGCTTGGTTAGGATGGTGCAGCAGCTTTTCCAGCAGCAGGTCCTGCTGGGTGCTCAGCATCAAACACCAAGTGCACTAACAGCCTGGCAACCAAAACTTGAGGTACTGCCAATTTCTTACCTGGAGGTGATATGTGAACACAAACATGGTTGCTTTTTGTATCGCAGTGCAGCAAGGGCCCGACCTCCAAGAGTCAATTGTTTTCTTTGAGCACAGAGAGAAGCGAAATGCGCCTCCAAGTGGTGCTTGGAGTGGTGCCCTTTCTGCCCGGGCTCCGCTCCAGCCGCTTCCACTTGAATTGTCAAACATGATTGCCGTTGTATGTTGTTTTGTCTTGTGATGCCACTCGAGAACCAGTCTGCAGCATGAGTAGGCATTTGATTCATTTTTATCGGATGAACTCACATTGAGGCACACGATCCCCAGCATGCTGGCTGGCTCCCTCGGGACCGAATTGCCCGGATGAGTGTGGTGATTCTTGATGAGCATCAAGGTATATCAAGAAGGGTTGTTAAACGCAAACATTATTTTAAAAAACACACACATTTTATGATCCTGTGACAGTCAGGCCACTGAATCCCTGTCTCTGCAGGATCGGTTTTGGTGCTCTTGTGAAGCTATGCTTTTGCAACTCCAATGCCTGGGAGGCCCAATCTTATTTTAACAGCCGCTCATTTATATAGGAATATGATGGGCTATTTAGTATAATACTTATATATGTGGTTGTCGATCTAAAGGTCCTAGACAACATTGTGTATGACGATGACCCGGAACATATCAAAATATCATTTGGCGAAAGTTTTTGTCGAGTTGGCGAAAGTAATTCATTTTTTGGCGAAAGATCTGGCGCAATATTAAATATGTACTTTTGTATTATGTATGAATGTTCATTTGCTTCCTGAACAGCTGGTGGCAGTGACTCAGAAGTTAGATGAGCTGTGGAAGTTAGATAACCTGCTGCTGCTGCGGCTACTACTACTACTACTCCTGCTGCTGCTGCTGCGGCTACTACTACTACTACTACTGCTACTACTACTACTACCACCTACTACTACTACTACTGCTACTACTGCTACTACTACTACTACTACTGCTACTACTGCTACTACTACTACTACTACTACGACTACGACGACGACGACGACGACGACGACTACGACGACTACGACGACTACGACGACTACTACGACTACTACGACTACGACTACGACTACGACTACGACTACGACTACGACTACTACGACTACGACTACGACTACTACGACTACTACGACTACTACTACGACGACGACGACGACTACTACTACTATTCCTATTCCTGCTCCTGCTTTGGGGGGGGTGGCTTTGCCACAAAACTTTACCCCGCAAAAGGCGAAAGTTTGGCGAAAGTTCAGCTCAAGATTGGCAAAATTTCACCCTGCCACATCTGACCCCCAGCCCATTATGAGTAAGTTTGAGTGACCGGCTACTACAGTGATTCTTCCATTTTTGACTCTTGCTGACACCCAGGAGAAACAAAAGAGACGTACAGGGTGTCAACAGTTAAGTAGAAGACACATGCTGACAAACAGTGAAGTTTCTATTTTGTGCTTGCCGGTAAAGAAGAAGCCGTTGACGTGAACAAAACGCAACAGACATGGCACACATGAATACAGCATGCTTCGGCGAAAATTTGGCTAAAGTATTTTTTGCGAAAATGACGGATCCCGGATGAAGGAATTTAGATCAACTCCCATTTGTGTTGAGTCTGGGGCAGGCTTGGGTGCGCGAGTATCATCACAACACACAGTTGTACATTTTGGCTCAAGATCCAAGACGGACAGTGGAGTTTCTGTCCCACCCTGACCAGCTGTAGCTGGAGTGGGGTGTCCCGCTACCTGAGGTGTCTTCTGCATCAGGGGATGCTCTCCTCTTGTTTTTTGTGGATCAAAGCATCTGAATAGAGAATGACCAAGTGGAGGCTCCACAGCGGTTGGAGCTTAATCGCACTGGGAACAGAGCTTGAGAACAGAGGACGGAGCTGGAAGTGAAAAAGGCGTGTGATTCTGTTAAGGAGTAGAGTGAAAGAGTCCTTTGTGATGACATCACAAAAGCCAGAGAAGTTCGCGAAGAATGGCCTTCCAGCAAGGAGGAATTTTGATCAACCACCATGTTAAAAAGTTTATCACGAAAGCCAGCCGATAGGCTGGAGTTGGGATGGGGTGTGGGGGGGTGGTCGCAGGAAGACCAATTTCGGAGGGCGAGCCCAGAGCCTGGTGGGGGAGAGCGAAAAAAGCGAGGGGCTGAATGGGGTTGAAAATGTATGGTTTTTGGGGTGTTGTGATGCAAGTGATGCAAATGACGGCGAAGAGTGCACCATTAGCGTCATGAGGGGCTCAGGAGGCAATCTGATGGTTGGAACTCCTCCAGAAGAGATGTGGGTCTCTGGTGAACTCTGATTTGATGCGTCTTCCCAAGATGATCCTTTTTGTCTTGGTGGGCAAGTGGTCTTCCAAATATAGAAACGCCTCTGCTATATCAGAAACGCCTCTGTCAACCAAAAGCGGTTTTTAATGAAGAGACAAAAAAGTCATACTTGGGAAGAGACCGAAGTATATATATGTATATAATATACTTACGAATGCCAGCGGACAGCCTCGGCGATGGGAGCCCCACAGCAATCTTTGCCCAAAGTTTGGCAATCGCGTGATCATGATCTCGATCCGCTCTTGGCGGCGCGAGTTTATTCCATCTACAAGACACGAACAAAATGCAGCAGGCAAGCGCCCCTCAGCTCCTTAGGGGTGCCCTTTTTTAGCCTGAAAGCGCCTCTACAGGACACGACTAACAAACAGCGGGCAAGCGCCCCTCAGTTACTTAGGGGTGCCCTTTTCCAGTTTGAAAAAGCCCTTGAACCGGGAGAAAAGAGGGCACCTCTCCTGACATGTATTCTGCTTTCTATTGCAACAGCAGTAGCATCACTGCAACGTCGACGTCCCCCCATAACAACGGTAATTTTTCCCCGAAGCTAAGCAATCACATGATCTTGGCAGTCCACTTTCCTCGGTCCACTCTTAGCAGCACGCCGACTTTATGCGTCTATCTACAAGACAAGACAAAGCAAGTGCAGGCAAGCGCCCCTCAGTTACTAAAGGGTGCCCTTTTTTTCTTGAAAACGCCCCTTGAGGGAAGGAAAAGGGGGACCCCACCCCCCGACCTGTGAATGAGAGCCTGTCGTATCGGCCTTTACTGCGACTTTCCACTTCTGCCTTCGACTGCCCCATTCCCGACAGCACTTGCTGTGCGCTCTCCAATTCACCCCCCATAGCCATCTTAATATCTTCTTAACGAGGCTGACTTTTGTCCCTTCCCTTCTCAGGTAAATATACATCAAAAAATATATATATACATACAACTGCGTACATATATATATATATGTGTATATATCTGTGTGTGTGTATGTGAATCAGAAGCAGACAGCCAACGCAATGGGATCAAAGAGGAGTCGGTTGTTCTTGTTTGGTCGTACCTTGTTTTTTCAATCACGTGAGGCCAGCTCGGAGTTAGACACCGCACATGAATGGGCGATGAGTCTTCAAACTTTGTCATGCTTTGTCGAAAGGAGGTGGGGCGATACAAGCACACGGTTTTCCAGCAGCACAGAACTCAGATGAGCTCTTTGGTCGACAAAAACGACCAAAAAAGAACCATTGGTTTTTGCCAAGTGCCATGACATCAATGGTGCCGGACCCAATGCAAATCATTGTACTTGTTCATTTGCATCGGGCAACCTAGTACCAAAAAACACACCGCAGTGATCAGCAGTGCCTCGCCGCTAGCATTGCAGAGGACTCATTGCGCCCACTGTCCTTGCTCTGATTTTGTGCTGTTTGCTTGTGTCATTTCCTGTGCAACTGCTCAAGGTATACATGTTTGTACCGAGAATATGATTTCATTTTTTGCGGTGCCTGTGCTGCACGGAAAGATTTGACAAAAAAGGACATTTGATGAACAGATCAATGAATACGAACAGGCCGGCAAGGATACTCAGCTTTGTGTTCTGATTGGAAACAAGTCATGAACAATGCAGGTATTGGCTTGTGATTGCTGGCACGCAAGATAATTGAACCTAGGGGGACACAGGAGGACACGTGCCGGCCGGTATTGCTCAAAGATCTCAAAGACATGCCATGAAAGGTGGTTCCACAGGGTTACCTTGAGTTTATATTGCGCAGCAATTTTGCGGCTGACGAGGTTGAATCGTTGATCACTCGACATCAATAGACTCCCCTCGCTGTTATTGGGTTTGCTTTGCCACCAGCCTTCGGTGCTTGTAGTCCCCAAGTTGACCCGATGACTGACAAACACTGAGGTGACAATGGCCAGGGAGATCTGTTGGCAGGGCAATTGATGATGCAGGCACGCCAAAACAAAATAGTGCGTTCGGAAGAAACCAAAATAGTGCGTTCGGAAGAAATGCCAGGACGAATGTTCCAACAGATGTTGAGATGTTCCAAGACCGTGTCAAGATGCACAACCAAGATCCAGCAAGACACATTAAAATGCAAGCCAGTGCGGTCGACCCAAGCAGCATACCAAAGCTTGCGGTACAGGGGCCGGATGAAGACCGTCCAGTGGCCGTCCTGATCCATGAGGTGTGGACGTTGGCAGCAGATTTGATGCTTGAAGGTGATGATTTTCGGAAGAAGTTCTGTTCAATTGTCCACATCAGCAAATGCAAGGGGCGGAAGGCCTTCAATGAAGCAAATTCCAAACATAGCGGACAACCTATTTTTGTGGTTTCACCCAGCTTAAATGCAATCGAATTGTGAAGTCATTTTGTTCGTTTGCCAGGTAATACCTTTGGCCAAGTCGCTGTCCTTGAGCTCAGAGGAGCTTGATCCTTTGAAGCTGTCAGCTCAAGGCATTCATCTACATAAGACATATGATGCTCGACTGAGAGGGCTAGGATTCGACGCGATACGATGCGCATTATATAATGGTTTGGATGGAACATTGATGGAATGCAGGCATCGTACACTGGTGGGTGGGGAGATTGATGGAGATTACCATGTTACCGGGTATGTGTCCAATCCCAATCTTATCAGAGAGTGAATGAGGGTCCATGGCCCGGTCCTCAATTCGCTTGCTCCATGGGTCGTCTTCCACGAATTGAGGTTGGTGCTGCCTTGGTGACCTGGCAGTCTTCAGCTAGTTGTGAGCCGCCAAAACGCGGTCTGTGTCTGTTGTGTTTTCAAGGAAAACATGTCAAAAAACGTTTTGCCTTTGGCCAACAGAAGTGATCATAGACCACCGCTGCAGAAATTGAAATGATCGCTTGTGGCTGAGGCCTTGCATCGTGCTGACCTCCTCAGCTTCAGTGTCCAGCAGCTGGCCAATGTCGCGAGATGTGCGCAGGACCCCGGCATGACAAATAGAATCCCCACCGTTCGATTTTTGGTGTATTCTGCCTGGCATGTGAGAGCAGATGCATGCAATTGATGATCAATCATTTGGTCCAGGTGTGATATAGAGGTTTGCCGCAATAAACCATGTCCAATTGGAAGTTCCGCTTGATTACATAGTATTTGAGCTATAGGAGGCAGCTCTTTGTTTCTTGCCTTAGAACCATCAAGTGGTTGGATGGGTGCTTTGCAGATCCGACAATCCTTTTTTTTGTTCGCCTTATTGATCTTATTGGTTGTATCAGACTCACAATGGTGCATATGAGATGATGGAAGAGCCCTTCTGAAAGGACGATTTCGACACTTCCCGACTCTTGGCTGCAGAATATTTGCCAAGGCTGTGAATGTTTGCCAAACCTGAGACCCAAATCTTTGCCAGGGGTCATGTATCCAGAGTGGATACACAATTGGGAAATGTTCGAAGACGCGCTGTCAGCAGATTTGCGCACGGTTGGCCCTCTATTACTTGCCGCAGGCGCGCCGTGCTGGATGTTGTAGGCATGGGTATGCTTGTTGAAACTTATAAAACTGATCCTAGTCATGCCGTGGCCTTCTTCAGTTTGTGCAAGCATTCAAAGAACACGCGCAAACGCCGGCCTCAGTTTTGTCAAACATGTGCCCTCAGTTGGCAAGGCTTACCGCCCTTAAGATGCCTGGAATGCACCAACACCTTGCTCAAGGAGGTGACTTGGTCACAAAATGCAACTACTGTATATACTTCCAGCCGCACCTACAAATTGTTTGAAAGCAGCCATCATGGGTAATTATTATCTAACAGTTCTTGTAATGTGTACCCTTTCTTTACATTTTGTTACTATGTTTTGTTGGTGTCTCCCATCTCGGTTTTGTTCCAGACTCAGACTGTGAGATAGTGCGCCCAGAGTTGTAGGAGGAGCCGTTTTCAAGCATCTTCCAATTGGGCACGAATAGCAGCGATGAGGAGGCCAGGGTTCTGTATGACTTGAACGTTTTAGTTTAACCACCACGGATGGAGTCTGTCGTTGAGTGAAGTCAAGCGTAGCTTTTGATTCTTTGGGTGCGCAGGAATCGCAAGAAGCGCCGATTTGCAGCTGCCATCATCACACCAGCTCAGATAGCTCTGATGAGGTCACGCGAGTCGCGCATGAAAAGATCCAAGATGGAAGTGGAATGAACATCTTTCACTGACTCACGTCATTCTCACAACACCAGTTCTACAACCGCTGGTCCTGCTGGTTGTTTGATTCTTTATGATTTGAACACTCTCAGAGCGTGCAGGAGATCCTTAGTCTGCAGCATCGTTTGTGGCCGCTTTACTCGGATGGAAAGGGGATGGAACTCCGCTTGTTCACGCTTGTGAATCATATGGCGTCATGTGTAACCTTTCTTGGAACGCCAATGGCAAGTAACGTCATAGTCTTGAAGAAGCTGGAGATGTGTTGTGTGTATGTGTGTCTTGCTTTGCATTCTGCATCACAGCGGGATTTGACACTCGCACCGGAGCTTTTATCATCCGCTTCCCTGGACAGATTGCCCCTTCAATCATGATTTCTGTGAGTTGGAGGATGGGTTACCGGAATCGACAATCCTAGCAGCCAAAATCCAAGCCCTGTAAGGGGAACCCGAAGAGGCATGCTTGGCAGGACTTTGACCTTCGTTCATCCAAGAAAGATAACGCCAAGCACGTGGAATGTGGTTTGCTGGGACCGGAACTGCTAGATCGAGCAATGAGCATCGATGTGACTTCCACTCTATCAAAGACAAACACATATAGCATCATATAGCAACGCAGAAAGATCCCAAAAGATATGAATGGGAAGTGGGGCCTGACCACGACACCCAAAATCTGCAGTGTATCAATATGAGGGTCAGATGGAAACATAATGCTTATCTAAAGAGTTGCAGGCCACGAACAAAGCAAGAACTTTGGAAACCTGCGAAGAATTAGAGGTAGGCCAGTTATGGCAAATTGTGTCATTGCATACATTTTTGCTCCTGCGTTACTGTTTAGGCATTTATTGGATGCCGAGAACGACGATAATGGATAAAAATTCATTATGTTTATCATATATATATATATCTATGTTAGTTAATAATTGACACTTTTTAATGCATATTTATCAACGATAATTTGAATCTTTACAATTATATGAAGTAATTATAAAAATTAGCGTTAATTAATTTTGTTTATTACGAAAGGTAATTTTTTAGGGAATATTTTGAATGTATTTTCTGAAATAAATATGGATTATTTCTGGAATTAATGATTGATAATTTAATTTATCTATTTTTTTCGAATTGTTTATTTTTTATATAATAATTTTATGTTATTTTTGTTTTTGTAGTTGTTTTATTTCGAAATATATTATGTTGTTACGATTATTGTTTAATATTGAATATTTTAATTTTGGAATAATATTTGAATGTTTGAAGAATTTCTTGATGATTTTATTTATTTTGATATTTCGATAGATTTTTAATATTGAATATGTTGGGTTTGGAATAATATTTGAAGACATAATGAAATATGGATTTGATTAAAAATATTATAGTTAAAATACAAAAATATAGGAAATTAACATGATTTATAATATATTAAAAATTAGATGATATAATGGAGAATTTTTCTAAGATTGAATTATGATATATTTGGTTTCGAATACGATTTGAAATTCGATTTTTTTTTAAATAATATAATATGAAAGCGCCATCTTAGCTCGAATCCAGCAGCCGTTTTTATATTTCTTCGTGTTTATGTTACCATTTCTTTTTTGAACAGACAATTCTGGATATGTTGATGACGATTTACTGGCTGTTTTCTTTTGTGATATTGCCCTTTGTAATATTGTTATTTGGATAGCTGAGACACCAGGTCCCAAATCCCGCAAGCTGGAAGATTTATGCCTGGCGCGAGGGTTACTATTAAGACCTCGCTTGATGGTGAGAATGTCTCCCATTAACGGCCAGGCACGAAAATTCACGAGGTTTGGGCGACATTAGGCTACGGCCTAATTGTGGATCCATCCAGATGCAAAAGAATCAAGAGGAGCTTTCATCGAGCCTGCAAACGGGCCTTTAAGTATGGCTGTACACAATATCGTGGAAAGGATTTTTGGTATTCCAATATCCCGTTTAGGATTCGTTATTAATTGATACATGCGGTTACTATGCCAGACATGAAGGTCAGATCTTCGCTTCCGCCAACACGACCAACTGAATCCTTGAACGCCTCCAACGGGCTTCTATTGGACGAATGGATGACTTGGCTCTCCCAGACCTCATATGATGTAACTATCCTACAGGAAATTGGATGGCGCTTCAGCAATCAATGGGTGTCTGGTGATTGGTACATGCTGCATTCGCATGGCCATCGTGCCACTGTTCTCTGCATGATTCGACGACGCCTGTTGCGCCCTGATCAATTGGCTTGGAGTGAATTGTGTCCAGGCCGGCTCATTTATGTTCGGTTACATTTAACCCGGATCCACGATATCATTTGTGTTTATCAGCATTCCTGGAGTTCTCTGAAAGACCGTCACACCCTTCTCCAAGACCGACTTCAGGTATTTGAAGCCATCCGTCACTGCATTCACCATGTTCCGAAGAATCACATGTTGTTGCTTGCAGGTGATTGCAACACCCCACTGACAGCCGATGCACCTCATGTGCACTCACGTGACCCCAAGTATGGTCAAGCAGCCCATTGTGACAAACAAGACTTTCAAACCATGATTCGTGACTTGGATTTGGTTGCTGTTCACTGTCAACATCACTGGCAACCTACTTTCAAACACAGGGATCACACTAGTCGAATAGACTTCATGTTTGTTCGTCGTCACCAAGTTCAATGGACCAAGCATCGTGCCCAGGTACTGACTCATTTCGAGAGAACTGTTGGCAGCAGTGCCCCTGTGCACCACCCTTTGGTCATATCCTTACCTCGATGGTTTGCCCCACCCAGACAACAACCTCCGATTAACTCGATAGACCGCCATCGACTGAGGCTTGAGTATCAGTCACAGACTGAGAACTGGCTCACCTTCGAAACGGAAGTCATGCACACAGTTCGCACACATACTGACCCACCAAAGTCGGATGATCCTATCACTACATGTATCCAAGTTGAACAGGCCATACGCCAGCTGTGTCAGAACCACTTCCCAAGGGTACGCCAGCACCGCCCTCTGTGTTCTCAGGTCAAATCCCTGGCTGCTCAAATGTGGTTTGCCAGACGCCAACTGCTCCGTCTTCGATCCGTCTCCATGCAGGCAATATTTCAGAGCTGGTCTTATGTCATTCGATTCGAGAAGCTTCACACAATCATCAGACGTCAAAGTCGGCAAAATCGTAAAAACCGTTTAGATATTTTTCTTGCAGAGAGTGTCCCCTTCGTCCTTCAGAGCAAGCTGCATGATTGGTACAAGCGGATTCGTACCCTGTGCCCCAAGCACTCCTTCAGGCGGATTCAGCTGTTTGACATGCATGGTGCACCGTTGTCCCAAGCCCAAGAACTTGCACGTTTGACCCAATACTATCAGGAATTGTTCACGGACTCTCAAGCGCCTATCATGACCCCACCAGCACTGAATCAGTTGCCATTCACTGAGGCTGATGTACTTCATGAACTTCAGCACCTTCTTGTGACGAAAGCCCTTGCCCCTGACGGGTTTCCTGCACTTATATGGCGACACTTTGCGAGCATTCTGACACCAGTGATGTTTCCATGTATCAGTCATGCATGGTGTCAAAACCAAAATCTACCCCCGTCACATTGGTCTGCAGGCTGGCTCCACCTCCTAGCCAAGCCCAATAAAATACCTAATCAACCAGCTGCACTTAGACCGATATGTCTCCAACACCCAATGCATAAGGTCATGTCCAGTATTCACTGCCGCTTATTCCTCGGATAGGCACACGGCCCCCTCAGCCAGATGCCCTTATATGCGTACATGCCTCACCGAGGCACACGTGAGTGTTTGCTGACGGTGTCCCACCATTCCCGTCTGGTGAGAGAACTTTGCATTGCTCTTCGTAAAGACGATGACAAAGCTGGGCTTTGGGGAGGCCTCCAAATCTCGCTGGATATGGAGAAGGCATTCGACACCATCAGCAGGCAGCAAGTTTCCAGGGCTCTCCATGCCTTTGAGGTCTCCGATGACCTCCAATCGTTAGTGTACTCTTGGTTGACCCCCCCGTACTTACTTCATTCCCTTCAAGGAAGTGGTAGGTAAAATCCAGGCCACGGGTGGTATACAACAAGGATCAAAAGATGCCCCGCTCTTTTGGAACCTTACGATGTACCTCATCCTCCAAGACTTACTTGCCCAGTATGATCATGCCTGGATCTTAGAACACCTGGTAGTGTACGCAGACGATTTTCACATGCGCTGGATTGTCCAATCACCAGCCGATGGACTGCGCGCAATGCACGACCTGTCCTTCCTGATGAGGGTATTTGGAGCCTATGGACTGAAGATAAATCCAACTAAGAGCTTTGCTATGCTTCGCCTTGTTGGGAAGGCCCTTCCTTCGTTCCAGAAACGCTGGATTAGTCGCACGGCCAATGGCCCCATGCTCCGACTGCCTGACATGGCAATCACTGTGCCGCTGTTCGTACAGAGCATAGGAAGTCGATACGACCAAACGCAGACTCACCGCTGCCCAAACCTGCTTTCGCATTCTGCGGAGGTGGCTCCTAGACAAGCATCATCCATTGCAGACACGGATCAGACTATACCGTCAATGCGTTCTACCTACGGTCCTCCATGGAGTGTTTGAAATGGGCCTGACACATCATGGCAGTTGTACCATCGTAGGCATGATCAACAAACACCTTCGATCGATGGCACATGCACCTGTCCATCTCACTCGAATCCCAACTCAGGAATTTTTCCACAGTCTTGGCTTGTCACCACCGTGGCACATGCTTCAACGACACTATGATAGATTGGTTCATTCCTTGAGTCACCGTCGGTCTTGCCTTCGAGCCTCAGCCATGTCGTCCATGCCCAGTGATGCTGGAGTTCATGTCCCAGACTATCCAGATACATCCATTCCATTCCCGTCGACCCACACTGACCCGTGCACTCAGGTTCCGGTCCTCAAGTGCCATGAATGTCACAGAACATTCACTCAGGCAGGTCCGTATAAGCGTCACCTCAGGGAACATCACCAAATTCCCTGTAGTCCTGAAGATCTTTATAATCCTCTACGTGACACGACCAATGGACACCCCACCTGCAGACATTGTCATAAGACATTCACTGATTTCTACCGTCTTCGTGATCACATCAACAAACGTGTTTGT